TCATTCTTTTTTTTTTTGCATTTATTAAAAATTAGATTTATTAGGGTGACATTGGTTAACAAAATTATGTTTCAAGTGCAAAATTCAATAATGCATCATATGTGTATAACATTGTGTGTTCACCACCCAAAGTTAAATTTCCTTATGTCACCGTATATTTGGCCCCCTTTACCCTTATCTACCTCCCCTCTCCACCCTTCCCTCTGGTAAACACTAGTCCACTGTCCATGTCCATGAGTCTCTGTCTTGTTCATCTGTTGCTTTCAGTTTTATATCCCACATGAGTGACCCCATAGAGTTCTCAACTTTTTTTCGTCTGACATATTTCTCTTAGTATGATCATTTCAAGATCTATCCATGTTGTTGTAAATGGCAGTATTTTACCTTTTCTTATGGCTGAGTAATATTCCATTGTATATATGTACCACATCTTTATCTAATCACCTATCAAAGGACACTTCGATTGTTTCCATGTCTTGGTCATGGTGAATAATGCTGCTATGAACATCAGGGTGCATATATCTTTGCTGATAATTGTTTCTAAATTTTGGGGTAAGTACACAGAAGAGGGATTGCTGAGTCATATGGTAATTCTATTCTTAATTTTTTGAGGAACCTCCAAAACAATTTTGAGAAACCGTTTTCCATAGCGGCTGTACCAATTTACAATCCCACAAGCAGTGTATGAGGATTCCTTTTTCCCCACAACCTCTCCAACACTTGTTATTACTTGTCCTGTTGATGATAGCCATTCTAACAGGTGTGAGATGGTATTTTATTGGGGTTTTGATTTGTATTTCCCCAATAGCTATTGAAGTTGAGCACCTTTTCATGTTTGTTGGCCTTTTATATATCTTCTTGGGAGAAGTGTCTGTTCAGGTCCTCTGCCCATTTTTTGATTGGATTTTTTTTTATTGTTGAATTGTATGAGTTCTTTATATATTGTGGTTTTTAGGCCCTTATCAGAGGTGTTGTATGCAAATATCTTTTCCCATTCAGATGGTTGCCTCTTTGTCTGGTTGATGGTTTATTTTGCTGTGCAGAAGCTTTTTAGTTTGATATAGTTCAGTTCATTTATTTTTGCTTTTATTTCCCTTGCCTTTGAGGTCTATTCATAAAATCCTTTCTAAATCCAAGGTCTATGAGTTTAGTACCTATGTTTTCTATGCAATTTATTGTTACATTCATACATTCGTGAGTCTGAGAAAACTCATTTACAATATGCATGTGAAGACTGATGGTCTGAGATTCTGCTTACATGATCAATTTTATCAACATCATTAAGATCTAGAGCACTGTCATCTGTCTCTCTGCATTCACCATGTGATTCCTTTAATTCCTTTAATAATTGTAAAAATCCTTCTGTTAATTTTCTTCTACTTGACATTATGGTTAAAATGAAAAATTCTAAATTCTCAACTGTATTCACTGAAAACTTAAAACGAAAGACTCTAAAAGTGGTCTCTCTCCAGACTTTTATGCCTTCTTGAAAGCTAATGCAATACCTTGGGCAACGCTATATGAAAACTAAAGGATTATGTAGTTGTGATCATTTATTTTACTTTTATTTTCTTCTTCTAGGTTATTATATCATTTCATTTTCTTATTATTTTAGTCTTTTTAAGCATAGTTGGGAATAACTGACTAGTGATTAAATAATTCCTGGGATGATGAAATAGCAAAATATTTCAAAAGATGTAGGAAAAATTAAATCACTGAGATCCCATACTGTATTTAGAATTACAAAAGGTTCCAAAAGACCTATATAGGAATTGAAAGATATGAGTATTATTTTATTTTTAAAAGTAAATTTTCTCTTTATCCCTTAGAGAATATTAGGAAAGACTAAAAGTCATGAAATATTAATTCTTATAGTTAGAACTGCTCAAAAAAGAAGCCCCAAACTAAAATTTTGTTCAATGGACCCACATTCTCTAGGGTTAAAGGATCATCATATATTTTCAGTTAAAGTCACAAAAAAAAAATAAAAGTATTCCTCAGAGAACTAAAATCTTTATAAAGACCAGCTGTTCACCAGTCTAGATCACAGGGTCAGAGTTCCCAGTCCATGCTTTGTTGAAAGTCCCCCTCATTCCATAAAGGGCTGAGTGAGTGTTCTTGGAGATCTTAATACTCGAGCCACAGATAACTGCTCCAGGGGTGGACAGTTGACCCGAACTGAGAATATAAATTCCTTTTTCCAGATTTTGAATCATAACAAACAAACAGGGGACACTGGAGCCAAAGCTAGGTAAGAACTAGCAGCACCCCAGAGTCCAAAGTCTAGAGCAAGATTAAATTGCAAAGAAGCAAGAAAAGAAGACATCGTTATCGTCAGAGAAGCCAAACTACAGAGTGAAGCAAACGTGCAGAATCAACATAGCCCAGTGATGGGGAGAGGGTGACAAAATCTAACTGAACTTACTGTAATTTGAATTATTCATTCTTTATAACACCATACCTTTAAAGTTGGAATTGGGTTTGTTTCTTAAAAACAAATCCCTAAAACAGAAATAAGTGCCAGGAATAAGACTGTAACAGGCTCTGAGTGAAAAGGTAAAAGTAGCTGTAGAATCAAGGCTAAGGGGTGGGTAAAGGCAGGGGTGATAGAGAGGATTCCCTATTCTATGGAAAACTGGTAGTATGGAGGTAAGAGATGGCAAAATAGCTAAATAATTGTCTAAAATCTCTTGGGACCCAAACCACATGTTCCTAAAAGCAGCATTTCAGATTTAAAAATTGTCAGATGTTGAAATGTAAGAGTATGTTGGATGTAATTAAAATTCAGTGAAGTTTTCTAAATCAGGTTGTATGGCAAAAAGCAGAGAGAGAAAAGCAAGAAATTGTGTATTTATGTTTCATGAAGGGAAATCTTTTCTGCTGAGATTGTTGAAGATTACGTTCAGATATTGTTCATGAATTTGGAAAAGCTCAGAGCTCATGAGCTTAGCAATTGAAAGGAGGGTATCTAGTAGCAGTAGCTAGAATAGTGTGGTAAGCCCAGCCTTTTTCCACAGGAGAAATAAGTTGATGCCTATCACTTCCCCCATCCCCTTCCCTAACTCCCAACCCCTAGTAACACATTTGCCTAGACTGGAATGTAACCTGCAGAGGGAGGAATTTTTAGAGGCAGACCAGGGAAGTGCTTCCGGTTCTGCAAACCTCTTTCCAGTCACTTTTCCTTCTTTATTCCCTTGAGGACAGGGCCATTAAGAACAATGGGTCTAAGAGATGAAAAACAAAAATCCTAAAGGAATGGTCATTAGATAGCCTGGTGATTAAGGGAGCAAGCTTACCTCCACAAAAATTCCCGGCACGCCTTTTAGTCAATGGTGTACTAAAAAACAATGATTGAAAGCCCATGAAAATTCTGGGGTAGTTATCACCAGAAGAACCTCATTCTTGAACAAGTACCTGTACCAATTCATCCAACATGGTATGGAGAACTGGCCTCTTCTGGATGCTCTGACTCAAGTAGAAAAGGATGCTGGCAGCAGACAATAGTCACTGGAGAGAGGACTCTCTAATGTCCCTTAGAAGAGCAGGCCTGAAACACAATGGAGAAAGGAAATCCTTCTCATGGCCAGATCCCAGGACTGTCACACATGACTTAAGACATGTCTACTGCCAAGGGAGTTAAGAAACAGACTTACAGCATTCATTAAGGGGCAGACTTGTGACCTGTATATAATCCTGTTTTCTAGGTTTCTTGCCCACTTTTGAGTGAACTTATCTAAGTGATCATCTGTGCTTGCTGAGAGTTTTTTTTATTGCATTGCTAGTGTGATGGTAGTATAATGTGCCAATAAACCCAGAATGGGTCATTCTGGTAGGAAGGTGATACAAGGACCAGATGGAGACTGAGTGGCAGGCATTTGTAGCTGTACCTATAATACTGGAGCACGTTAAGCAAGACTATCCTCAAAGACGAGTTTTTCTCTATAAAGAAGAAATAGTGATGTTAGTGCAATCGACCTCATCCACATCCATTGTTAGTGCAATCGACCTCATCCACATCCACGGCTTGTTAATGGCTCCGAAGCCCTTATTTAGCAGGTGACTCCATTTTCGAAGCTTCTGTAAATGGTTGTGCAAGGTTGTACATATACCGCATAGTCCTATGAAGAGGTTCCTGCCTTGTTATCCTGGCCACAACTGATTGAGACCCCTGATCACATTGAATGAGACTGTCTCTGGAGAACTTGACCTAAGGTACAAAGACAGATAAGCAGCAGCGGTCAATGGAGTTGTGAGGTTCTACAGAGCTGGGTTCAGAGTTTGCACCATCGCAGCTCCAAGGCATGAACAAAGCAGGGATATGGAGACAGGGCTACCATGTCACCCCATGCGGGGAAGAAGAAATGAAGAGGCCTTCAGAGAAACCAGTTCAGAGAGAGAATAAAGCCGATGCATAGGTGATTATGTGTAAAAGAATGTGGAAGAGGGAGTAGAAAAGAGAGATAGAACTAGACATAGGGAGAAACAAAGCCAGAGGCAGCTAGAGACAGAGATGAACTGCTAATGATTTTCTGATATCACAATGTCTAGTTGTACTTCCTGCAATTAAATTCAGATTTCTGATTCTTTTTAACAACTCCTCTTTCACAAACTACTGTAGGCAACTTCTGATTCTTGCAACCAAACAAAATTCTTGACCTAAACATCTGTTCCTTGATGGCTTAATGCCTTAAATGTTGATTTGCAGCTATGGAAATATATGTACTGCCTAACAGAACTGGGCTCTATAAAAAGGTGAGGCTCTCAAGGTGGAGGGACTATAATTTATTTGCAACATCTTTTATTTCCAATGACAGACTTGGTTTTCTACAGTAATAGCTAACACTTACTGAGAACTTCCCTTGGGCCAGTTTCAAAAGTTGTACATGCAAGATTTCACCTATTCTTCATGACGATTGTTGGTTCTATTATTATCATTCCCATTTCACAAATAAAAAAGGCACAAAGATTAATAAATAACTTGCTTACAGTCACACAGTCGATAAGGGAATAAAGGTGGTATCTATTGTTTATTTACATTGAAATTGACATTTGGAAAAAAGTATGCATTCTCTTAAAATTCATTTATGTCAATAAATTTTTGTTGAATGCCTATTATTTAGCGTACAGATTTAAACTAATAAACTGGTTAACATCAGTTACAAATATAAAATCATTTAAAATATCACCATTTAAAACAATCTTTCTGTGGTATACACAAAGATGTACTTTCAAATTAAGATTTTTACTTTCTAAAAGACCTCCTTTAAAACAGAAGGAAATAAATTCTGACAATGCTATTTTCGATGCATTCACTATTTGAAAATTCACTGGAATATATAACTTCAGAGGGAAGGCTACATTGATAAATATGTATCCATTTAATTAATTTCAGTGTAACCTACACACATGTACATAAAAAAGTAAAATGACAAGGATGAGAGGAATTTTTCATGGGAGGTGGTGAGTTGCCATGGATTCTGCTTCTTTTGATTTTCGGAGCAGGGCTTGTTTGAGAGCACTAATTTTCTCATCAAGTTCAGCCAGTGAATAGTTCTGCTGTAAACAATGAGAACACAAATTGCTGAATAAGACTCAGAAGTATCTTAATGCAGATAAAGTGCTAAATGAACTATAAATATTTAAAATATCCAAAAGCATGGTCAATGTCTTTTAATCTCATGAAATTTTAAAATCGAACTATATATGTTGACCACATCATAAATTTAAAGGTATAAAATAACCAAGCTTAAATATTTCTTTTTCTTTCCTTATGACTAAGCTCTCCTGGACCTTTTATACTTTGAAAGGATTGTAAAAAATTTTCAAAAACTAACTATTTTCATAATCAATAGTAAAAAAATTAAACTTTAAGATTGGCTTAAGTGCTTGAAATACTTGGAAATTCTCTTTTGATGTATCGACTGCAATCGACTACCCTTCCTGGGAAAAGTGGATGCTCTCAGAAATTTACAATAAAAAATAAGTAACATGCTACTCTTAAAAAATAAACCAAAAAACTTTTTAAATAGTTTTCTCCAACTTTAAGTTTATATTGCCACTATTGAAGGCTAGCAAACCTTACTAATTATGATTCAACTAATTACTGTAGTAGGACTGTGGACAGGAGTGGGCTGAAGTCAGCCTCTGCCAAACATTCTTTTTCGATTTAGATGCTGCTAGTTAGCGGTGTCTGCAAAAAAGGGGGTGGGGGGAGGGTAAGATTTAAACTAAAGCATTTATTATTTTTCAGCATTTTCTAACTGATACAGCCTTCCACCATTAACAGCTGAATACAGACTTTTATATTTTTCAGGCCCATCTGAGTCTTTCCATGCCCTTAATATAAAATTATTTCTCTAAATCAAGTACATTAATTTATGCTACTTTTTTTTTAGTCTTAAATTACGGTATGAACTAAAACAAACCACAGTAGAAACTTTTATTAAGAAAGGTATAAAACTAATCAAACTACTTCAGAAGCTAAAATGAAAATGCAGCAACTTACTTGAGGTGGTTGAATTTTTCTTCTTTTTCCAGAAAAGTTCTACATTAAAAGTAAAAAAATATTAAGTAATCAAATGCTTAGAAAATCTAAACAATTTTCCTTGATATTGAACAAAATATGAACAACTCTGGCAGAAACAAAGCCCACAAACTTACCAAGCACTATCTGCCCTCTTATATTTTGGAAGTTACCCTCCAAAGATGATATTAAAAGTGTATAGCAGTAACATCACAGCAATGTTTGTCCTTGGCTATACACACGTTCCCATTAATTCTCAGCTTCTAATGAGGCTGAGTGTTTGTGGAAAGAGGTGCTCTGGGGCTTTTCTTAGTTTCTTTTTGAATATTTTTCCATCCCAAGATATTGAACAAATGAGGCAGCAATAGACAGAAAAACAGAATTTGGATACCAGGCCAGGGAGTGAAAACACACAACTACACACCCTTGACTGACTGTAATGGACACTGTGGTTGTGCAAGCACCTATCTGCTGCTCCTTTATGTGGCTCAGGGGAATGCAGATCCCAGCCCATGGTCTTGTCAGTGACTGGAATGGGCATGGACCTAATTCTGGCCAATGAGTAAGGAGATGTGTACTAAGAATTAGGGGGAGAGCTTCTGAAAAAACTTCGTCACTTCTAAAGGAAAACCCTCAAAGGAGGTAGTTCCTCTGGTCACTGCTCTATCTGGACAGGACACCTGAAAGTGCTATATGTCATCTTGCCATCTGCCTGAGGAAAAAGCCACTACCAAGTAGAGCTGAGAGAGAAAGAGCCCAATTCTTTGATAACTGCACTACAATTGAACTTCCTGTTTTTATGAGATAATTTCCATATTGTTTAATCCAGTTTGAGTTTAAATTTCTGTTATGTGAAGCTGACAACATTCTCACTGACACTATGTTGAACCTTTTAATCCTTGACCTAAAGAATTCTTTCTAGAGTTTGGTCTTGGTTTGACAGAACCATAAGCTTTCAAAAAGAAACTGTCAACATAGGAAGCGAAATGTTCTCATGAACGCTTCTGACCAATGAAATTTAGAAGAGGTGAAAATTCATTTTCCTTTGTGTCAAAAGCTGTTTCAAAGAATATTAAGGTATGCCTCTTTATCAGTAGTTATAAGTGGGAAATCATTTAAGTGTTGGAATTATTAAGTATGGGGGGGAAATTGCTTATATAAACCTGTTCCTTCCTTTGCCAAACTGAGCTGGATACCTGTGGTGGGGCCTAGAAGCAGGAAAAGACTTAATGTTTAATCTGGTCACTGCTCAGTCTCTTACCTTCCCAAGAGGTGGCTTTTTTACGCACCCGATGAAAATATACTCCCCTCTGTTTTCCTAACAGTTTAATCTATAAAATATTGATAGTTTCCATATCACTGAACAATCAGATTATTATTGTATCATGAAACTAAAGTGAGAAATATCAGAATGAGGAGAAACATCAGTGGTTCGATGACTTAAAAACAGTAAAATGTGGTTTTGGGGGACTTATTTTAGATCTGCGTAGAATATTTTGACAAGTAGAACCATTAGAAACACATATATTGTGGTTATAATTAAAATGTATTTTAATTATAGTTAAATTATAAAATTTATTTTTTAATAAAAAATAATAAATTTTTAAATAAAATTTATTTAAAATTTATTTTTCTTTTAGCTGTAAAAAAATCTCAGTATAAAAGGTGGAAATTTTTAACAAGTTTTGTTATCTAACAGAAAATATTTCAGGGAACAGCACATTGAATAAACAGCTAAATAGAGATAATTTAAAAATGGTCTCTTCTCTATTATTTTACTTCAGCGGGTAATTGATAGCTACATTTATAATGCCCATCCTGATGAAAAGGTGATTAAACACAGACACACAGACACACACACACACACGCATGCTTCCAGAGAACCTGTGCTCTAAGGAAACTCAGTGGTAAGGAGGCCTCTTCCATGACCAACTCCTTTTTTACTTCTAATCAGTTGTAAAAGGCTACTGATTTTACAGGTACAGTATCTTAAATGTTTATTCCTAGTCCCACTGCCCCGATTCAGATCTTCATTCAGACAATGCTATATGTTTCCTATACTATTTTCCTTAACTTCAACCTCTTTTCCAACTTCATAATGCCACCAGAAAGGAACCTATATTACAGGTTTCTTTCCCAAAGAATCTTTAATCATGCTCCAATGACAAACTGGTTACTGTGACCTTCAGGGCCCTCCACAATGTGTTTGCAATTTAATTTTCCAACTGGATCCAATTGTTCACCCCCATGCTTTAGGCCCTCCCTGCATGGCCTATGCACATGAAGTTGACTTAACTTTCAGCACTCCCCTCTCCTGATATTTCCCTTTAGAGCCAGGAGTTACTATTATAGATCAGAATTAATATTCTGTGTAGTCAGTGCTTTGAAACAAAGTTAACAAACCTTTAAAAGTCCAATAATTAACCTCCAGCCAAGTCCTATCCATTCATTCGCACATTATTCAATGCCTAGTACATTCTGTGTGTTCAAAGATGAACAAGACAGTTCCTGCCTTGAGTTTCAAAATATAGTGTGAAAAATAGATGTGTAAACATGTCATTATAAGTGATAAGTGCTAGAAAATGAACAAAGTGCCCTGGAAATATACTTGTAAAGCATGTTATACTTACTGTTTTCAAGGGTCATAATTTAAAATCAGTAAGTCAGTCTTTGGAAATAGTCATAAGGATTGTATCTTTTAAATTGTCTGTTAAGCACTGCCCTTAAAATTTTAAAAACATTACCACATTCGAATCTTTCCATGCTGAAAATGAAAGGTAAAGATCTTTAGAATTACATTAGAAGTTGCAACAAATACTAATCTTTGTCATAATTTCTGCTTTATATACGTAACTTCTTTTGGTTTTATGTGTTTCATAAATGAAAGGAACTTTACATAATCTAGTTTTGTTCTATAAACAAAATATAACTCATATCTTTTCTTCTGTTAATGTTTGCCTTTTCAAGTGCTGTGCTTCAATGTAACCCATGACAATCAATTTCTATCAACTGTAAGAGACTTCTCGCGTTTAGAATTCATCCACATGTGAATCTGGATTAAACACATTTCAATAAAAATCTTTTCAGAGTTTATAACTTCAATTTCTAACAAAAATTCAATCCTTAAGAAATGTAATGAGTTCAACTTTCCCTTACTCTCTAACTTTAGAAGCTAGAAGACTTGTGCTACATATGTCATCTTTTCTGTATCCTTTTGAGAGATATGTAAAATTATGCAATTGCCATGTGTATATTCCCATCGTGAGGATGGTGAGAGTGATGAATAATGTGTTATGTCCTTTGCAGGGGTGCGTTCACCTCCTCTCACGTGCAAAGCCAATCCTAAAGCCGGTTCTATTCCAAGCGAGAAGTGGTGCTCTTAAGGATGGCACGTTCACTCTATTACGGAGGGTGAGTGTGAAATCTCTCCCTTTGGGCCTGTGCCATATATATTCATAGGTCTTGAGGACAGAGTCAATCTGAATGTTTAAACCTTTTCAATGTTTTGTGCTTCCCTGCAGCTCACTATTAATTTGGATATGTCATTTCCATTACTAATGCAGAAGTGATCCTTCTAATCAAATATACATTGTTTAATAGATTTGGGAATATTTTTTAAAAGCACTAGTTTTATCACAGGTATGGCAACCTAACACATCCAGTCTAATCTTCTGTTTACATTTATAATGCTTCTGCCCCTGAAGTTAGGTAGTCATGGAGTTTCAGGTCTCAGGCCTCTGACAGTCTCAGTGTTCTTACCCATTCTATGTTTTAACTATCACCTGTATATTCTCCCAATTGTCTCAAGTGTAAGTGCTACGTTTTGAGAGGCTTACATGATATTTCTATCTGTATAACATACTATGACTTCAAGTTCACATTTCCCCCCAAAATATTTCCCGTCTAGATTTTCTTATTTTTATCAATGACATTTTTATCAATGACTCTTGCTCTATATCTCTCCGCATACAATCAATTATGAGTATTTGTCAACATTTTTTCCAACTGTTTCTTGCCTTTATCTTTTCTATTCTTACTCTAATGTCCTTAGCTCAGGATCTCACTTCACATCTAAGCTAGTATAATACTGTTTCATTTTTGGTCTCCCCCTTTTAAATCATCTCCCAGGACAGTTTTAGATAAATCTTCTAAATGTCACTTGCACAAGTCACTTCCTTGCTCAAATGTTTTGAATAGTATTTAAACTTTAGATACATTAAACTTCTGGGTATAACATTTCAAGTCCTCTATAATCTGACTACTTTTAAATATCTACCTCTCTAACTAAATACCCTAAAAACACTTTCTATCCTGAGTACAAAAGATCCCCCCAAACAAGATTATGACTTGAAGGACTTGTTCTTTTGTTAACCAAGTTTAGTAACAGGTATATGTTAAGGTTTATAAATCAGAATCAGATAGAAGAGATAAATGATGGGTCAAGGTCTCACTGGAGGCATCTAATACTATGATAGTTTCTTGTAAGATCAGTTCTATTGTTAACAAGAATTATATTAACGAGATATGAAACTAAACTAGAAAAATAACCTGCCTAGTGATTACTTAACGAAGGCAGCTTGAATGAGAAAAACTTATGGTAGATTGTTGTAGGAAAAATTTCATAAATCTATATACTCAAAGAATAACCCTAAAATTAGAAGGACCTTTGTAATTATGTAGTACAAACAACAAATCTTCTCAAGTTAGATAAGTGAAAGCTAGAAAAATTGTGTGACTTATCTAAATTTATACAGCTACTTCGTAGATGGTTTCTGAAACAAAATTGCTACTAATATTTACTGAGATTTTTATGATGTGCCATGTAGGATGCTAAGTGCTTGATTGGTACTGCTTTAGCCTTTAGTACTTTAATAAACTCCATTTTACATTTGAGGGAAGTAAATCTCTAAAACTCTTTCTCTAAATTTTTGATCGTTAGGATTTAGTGCTTACTTCTGTTATGTGACCTGCTTCTTCATCTGGAAATAACTTTTCTGAGCTCACTCTGATACCCAATTTAAGACTAGAAAGATTGCTGCTACATCTAAATATAATTTTAAATATATTTTCACCAGTGACTTATAACGATCCATGCTAATATGAGCTATTTTATATATTTTTTCAGAAACAGGAGTTTTATAAAAAAAATTTCACTAAAAATTTAGTAAAATTAAAAATTAGTAGTTTTAAAAATTAAAAATTAAAATTAATAGTTTTTTCTAATATGGCACTGCTTTAAAGCAAAACAAAACAAAAAACCAGAACACAGAAAAGGCAGGTGTTATGAATAATCACCCCAGAAGACCAAGAGAAAATAACAGTCAGCTCAGGATCACTTGTCTGAAACATGCTGATGTGACAAAGAAGGTACTTATCAGCACAACACTTGTTTCTTACTGATCTTGGGAAAAAAGAATGAATGAATGAGTGAATAAATAAATGCTAGAGTTGAGGAATCAGACAAATACATAACTAGTCTTTCAAAAAGTCTGGTGGGTAAGGTAA